GCTTCTAAACTTTTACTAGAGCAGGAGAGTGACCCAAGCCTCTTACAAGAGAAGGAAATATTAATTTCACTACCAGGACTCGGTTGTGCTATCCTACTACCTTCCGCTGCAGTTATTCAGAGGTAAGGTAGAGAGGTAAGATGGATAGAGAGATGGATCACCAACCTGCACACCCAGAAACTTTAGCAGCATCTCTAGTGAACACTGTTGACAGTTTTTAAATATTTATAGCATAAATAGTTTGTTTTTCTGATACAGTGTCTTGCTACACAGCTTGGACTCATAGTGATCCTCCTGTCTCAGCCTCTCCAGCGCTGGGACGACAGGCATGTGCCACCACGTCTGGTTTCAGGGCCTACACAGCACACTCTGGGTTTGGGGCTAGCATAGCATATGGCACAGGGTCCTTGCGCTTGCCAGGCAGGCGCTTAGAGTGCTGAGCTGTCTCCCCATGCCCTGGTAGATGTTGGTTTGCACTGAGCAACTGCACTGGGCCCAACATATGAAACCAAATTGAAGTCACTTGTGCTTAAGGGCCAGGCTGCAACCTGAATTAAATTTTTTAATTGTTTATCTGACTTTCCAAGACAACAGGAGGGAAAGACAAGGGGGAAAGGAGGGGGGAAGTCAGGGAGGAGGGGAACCCGAAGGGGGAGGGCAGGGAAGGGGGAGCAGGAAGGGGGAGGGGAGGGAAAGGAAGGGGACACATCGCCAAAGGGCCAGTTTTGCTAGCATAAGAAAACACCCTCACTTTCAACTTTTACAAAAAGAAACTTTGAAATAACCAATCTCCTTTTTGTTCTCTTTCTGCTCTCCTCAGCCCTTCTGTATTTAGAAAGCCAATCTTTGTTCAGCTCAATGGGACCCCTTGTTCTATAAAACAGAATTTTAGAATTCTAAATAAAAACCAACCAGGGTCTTTAAATATGTTGTGATTTTACCTTCTGACAGAGTTCCAGGGAAATGCTGTCCCTGTACAGTTGAAGAGAGGCTGATTGTGTATTCTTCAATAACCACAATTCTTGGAGATTAACGTGGTTAGAGGGAAAGGATACACACTTGTAGGTCAGCACTTTCCCAGAAAAAGTTCAAATAGAAATTGCCAGAATCTTACCCCTCATTCCTTTTATTTTATTTCGGTACCAGGGATTGAACTCAGGACCTTGAGCTTACCAGGCAAGTGCTTATTCTACTGAGCTATCTCCCCGGCCCCTGACCTATCTATCTCCCTGGCCCCCCTCATTCCTTTTGTACACCTTAGAACATGCATTCAAACCCCTGGAGAGTGTGCATTTGATTTGTGAGTATTTATTAATTACTTATGTGTTCCACTAATGGGCAGAGCAGTGAGCCTGGGAGATACAAAGCTCATTTATTAGTAAGAATCACAGCAGGCAAGAAAACATATGGCTAAAGGCCATCATTTCAAGGCAAACTATGAGAGCTGTGATGAGGTGGGTGGGGTAGTGATGTCCACAAAGCTATTTTTGAAAGGTCAAGAAGGCCTTGTAAGGAAAAGTGTCCTCTGTGCAGGGACATGGGTGAGCTTTGAGAAGGCACTTGGCAGGAGGACAGCTAGGGCAGAGAATGCTTTGCCAGGGTTCTCAGGCAAAGGACAGCCCAAGATGAGCTGTCAGGGTTTGGTGTGAGCTCAATTACTGGTACCAAAACAAACAAACAAACAAACAAAAAAAAAAACACAGCTCAACTAAAGATACTCATGAAAGAAGACTTCCAGAGCAGCTGCAGAGAGTGGCAAGAAAGGAAGTATAAGAGTGTTCAAAGCAAGGGGAGGTGTTGAGGTGGCTTGATGCAATGTGCCTTTTATAGTAATAAATACTATCTTAAAAGTAAGCATTCACCGTGTGTGTGTGTGTGTGTGTGTGTGTGTGTACTGGGAATCAAACTCAGGACCTTGCACTTGCCAGGCACGTGCTTATGCCTTTGAGCCATCTCCCCGCCGCCATATATTTTGATCTCACTGCATACCAACAATTCACTGTGGCTACCTTCGTGATGGATTTAATTTCCAACCCTGTAAGTTTTGCTCTATTGTCTACACGCTTGAGAAAGTGAATGCTATCTGAGAACCTAAGTCTGCTGCAAAGGCCCTTGCCTCATCCATCAGGTGGGGATGCAGCTGGCTCACCTGAAAACCAAGCACAGAGCAGACTGTTATAAAACAAGGCAGCGATGCACAGTCAACAGAGGCAGGCTCGCTGCCCCTCCTGAGTCATAACTTTGCTCTTCCTCTGTCTCCCTCTTTCCAGGTTTCTTCTTCATTATACCCACAGCTCAGTGGGGGCAGCCTCTTCTCTTTCCTCTTGTCCTTGGTACCCAGGCAACACTCAGTGATGAGCGAGGACGACAGCCCTGGGGAAGGCACAGGGAGGCAGAGAAAGCAGGGTGGGAGCACGCCCGCCACCTGACAGGCAGGAGGAGGGAGGGCACCAGGCTCGTGCCAGGGAAGAGTCCAAGACCCTGCATGCACCTGTTGGGGCTCCAGGTCTGCTATAGATTATGTGACCTCTGGGTCCTCCTCCTCCCCAAAGCAGCCAGTCAGGAATCATGTGGACATTTCTGTCTTCCCTGGGGCTCTCACTAAATCCAAGCTGGTTCTGATCAACTATTAGAGACTACTTCTCTTATGGAACCCACGGGTTTTTAGTTCTTAGTGGACCAACAACCCCTGCCCACACACCCACACACTGCCAACACACACACACACACACACACACACACACACACACACAAATCCATGCTGCAAACTTGTGGAAGAATCAATCTGAGAGACTGGCCTTCCTGTCCGCCCAAGTTCCTGGCCTTGGCGCTGCCCCACAGAATGAGTGGGACAAACAACACGCAGATGAAATTCTTCTGTGTCAAAACAAACCCTGTGAGGATGACAGGCACTCGGAATTGGACTCCATCTCTTCTGCCAAGTAGCAGGTTACTACAGTTCATTAGGACAACTGTTCGCAATTGGCCAGGCCTCCACATTCTGCCTTGGGGAATCTGCGGCTCTTGGCCTGCTCCTAGCCCCTCCTTCAGGACCATGAGATGGTATGATAATCACACACTGGGTTGCATAACTCTCATTATTCTGACCACAGTAGCCTAGCTCACAAAAGAGAACCTGTCCTGGGTATTTTCTGGTTCCGATAAACAGCTTCATCTCCAGACAATGATGCAGATGCCCATCTCCAGCAGAGAGCTCTCCTCCCAGTCCTGAGGCTGGAGGGTCTGCAGGGACAGCTGCGGGGCAGAAAGGCCTCCCCCTGCCTTCCACACACCCTCCTTCCTCCCTCCTCACCAAACAACTTGATCTTTGGCTCTTTGCCCATGGTGAGGCCATACATGGGAAACAAATGGGACCCAGTGAGCCCTGGAGCTTCCCAGAGGCCAGAAGAATCAGGAGGGGCAGGAGGGGGACAGTAGCCAGGGGCTGCAAGCCCTTGAAGATGGGAGCAGATTCAGTGGGCCAGCATGGCCCTCTGGCCTTCTTCCTTGCTGGCTGTCCTGCCTGCCCTGCCTGGGGTCCTGGCTTCCTCCCATAGTGGAGACCAATCCCAGCCACAGGATGTCAAAGTGGCAAGGAGGAGGATGCGGACAGAGACACAGTGTTGCCAAGGCCAGAGGCAAGTTGGTGGGCAAGCTGGGTCCAGAGCCCTCCTGTTGTGGTTCATGGCCCTGAACTCTTTCCACAAACCCTAACATGAAGCAGCATCCTTAACTGAGTTGTGGGAGATTCCCATGGACTCAGTTGCCCTGTGTAAATAATAACGGCCTTTCAGGCAATAATTAGGCTATATCCTACTTGGCTACAGCATCATGGAGCGGACACTTCAAAGGTCCTTGATGTAATGGATGTGTTCTGTCTCCTAGATGCTTCCTTCCTCTGCTGAGCACCCCGTGATTGTTTATAGGATTTGGCCCTAACACCTTTGGCTCTGGATCTTCAGAAGTCTGTGGATGTTCAGGAAGGAAGGGCCCCTGAAAGTGTTGCAAGGGACCCAAACTCAGGGTTCACTGGAGAGTGTGTGTCAGAGGCAGGCCCATCTGATGTGGCCTCCCCATTGTTCTCCTAGAGCTGGGTCTGCAGTCCCCACAGAGGTCAGAAGATCACATGGCCACCTCATTAGTGAAGCTGACTAGTTAACAGGAAGCTATGTAATTCAAGCTGGGATGTTCATTGTACCACATGAATTTGCCTATTTGCCAGCCTATGTTACCGGATCCATTTAGGAGAAAGACAAGGTACCCAGCATCCAAGCAGACAGCCCTGTGGCTATCTCTCTGCTCTGCAGCATGTGCTAACATGGTAGAACGAAAGGTGCCCTCGGGTTATATCCATGTCCCGCTGCCCAGTCCCAAGCAGCATCCAGGTGCCTAGAATGGGAAGCTGGAAGTGTCACACAGGATATGCAGAGAGGGGCTGCCAAGACCCTGTTGGCGTCTGCAACCGCAGTCCCACTTGTTAAAGAGCTGGCCTGTCCCACCTCCAGCTGGAGTGGCCATAGTGACGTACCTCACAGTGGGAGACTGCGGCTCCAGGAGACCAGGGGGGCTGGCCGTGGACCACACAGCAAGCTGACTCTGCTTCCTAACCCTGGCTCACTCCCAGGGGCCACATGGGTGGAGTCCCTGCTCCCTCTCAGGGAAAAGGGTCACTGACTTTTCAGTTACACAAAAATGAAAAATAAATACCAGATGCTTCAAATCATAGTGTAGCACATCTTCCCAGAACCTAAATGTACATCCTAAGTGAGAAAAAATTCAAATTGGAAAATCCACGGGGCGAAGGATGTTTTGAATGAAAATGCCTCTCCTCACAACCCCCAATACACACAATATCACATTGTTTCTTTTTCAGGGAACAGCTGTGAGGAAACTGGGAGTGGGGACAGACACAACATTCCATCTTTGTGTTTCATACAGAGCTGAGCTTTTAGGCCGGCCTTCCTGAACTCCAGGGGGTGTGGCATGCGTGACTATCAAACACCAATGACCTGATGGCAGCTTATAAAATAACTTGGGAGAAGCTCCTCACAGGCATCTGGATGTGACTGACCCTGCATGTGGAGACAGCCTTCATCTGGACTTTGAAAAGGTAGGTCCTGTAGTTTTCATTTTCACTTATGATCAGTGATGCTTGAAATAGAGACCGGCATAGTTTCCACTGCCCCTTTGCAGACACAACGTATTAGGGCTCCTGCTGACAGAGGGCTGGAGCAGTAGTTTTACAAATGCAGTCTCATTTTCCCTCAAGCTAGCAAGGTAGACAGCACTAGGGCCACTTTTCAGAAGAGAAAACTAGATGGGGTCATGCTAAACAACAGGTCTACCTATGAGGCCAAGCCCAGTGGTGACTCACGCCAAAGTCTTTGTTCTCCCCACCCCAAAAGAGACAAGGAGGAAATCTCCATGTGCCAAATTCAGCACAGAGCACTGTTCGGTGTAGCAGCCAGGCTGCCCATGGGGAGGTGAGGAGTCAGAGCTGTGGGTCATGGCAGGTGGCACCTGGTTAGGATGGACAGTCTGCAGCCTTAGAAGAATTACCCTTAAATTTTGTCATACTCCATTAAAATCGTATTTTTTTTTTAAAAGCAAGCTTTTCTTTGGGATAATCTTCCTAGAACTATCAGGCAAAGTATCACAGGCAATGCATATTTTGCCTATGACCACACGCAGGGTGGATAATGCGCTCAGTGACAGTTGACTGAATCGGAATAGAAGGAGGATAGAAAACATCAGGCATGGAACCAACCCTTCCTCTCACAAGCAGTGTTAACCCTAGAAACGAAGCTCCTGCAACTACGAGTCCTCCATGCAAGAGGAGCAACAAGAGCGATCAGCCTTGTTCTCAAAAGCCTGCTGAGCCAAAGAACACATTTCAGCCAGTCAGCCAATTTCCATAATGAGATATTTGTCAGCGAGACGTGGGACTGACTCTTGTTAGCACTTCCGGGGAGATTCATCGGTCACAGAGGCTGTGTTTAGTGAAAGGTGCTCAGGTGAGGGGTGGCAGGAGAAATCAGGTGCTTTGGGCAGAGAGCTGGAGATGCGTCCAGGCCCAGTTATGACCCTTGCTGGTCCTCAGTCCCCATCTGCCTACCTGTGGGAGTGGGGAATGACTGGGAGAGACTTTTTTTATTTTAGGGAAAGGTCTACAGGGTGTTCAGGGTCTCACTACTAGATTGGACTCATAGTGATCCGCCTGTTTACAGCCTCCCAAGAGCTGGGGTTACAGGCACACACCACCAAGCCAAGCCAAGTCTCAGTTGCTATCTCAGCATGTCCCAGAGGCAGAGCCTGCACAGCAGGCCTGGGGGAATCTAACCCCCGGTCCCTCTACCTGCTTGTAGGCACTTTAATCTGCTGAGCTATTTGGCCAGCCCCCCTGGGAAAGATGTCTTTTAAGATCCTGTCTATTTGGGGAGAACCGTGTAGAATGTCCATCACGCACTGGGGTCCTGCACCACTCTGGGCAAGACCTAGGTTGTGACTACTTGGGTACAGCTCCTGGGACTCCAAGAATTTTTTCTTGAAAATGAATGCAATGTCTTGTGGGTTTGGGTTGGATTTCCAAAACCCTTCTCCTGTAGGAGGTTAAGAGACAGATGTTTACACTGTGGTGGAAGCTGGTAGGACATGGAGCCCTAGGGACTAAGGAAGGTGGTCGTACCTGGGATGAGCCCAAGAGGAGCATCAGGGCCACGCAACCCCCATCCCCACACGCAGCCCCCGTCCCCACACGCAGCCCCCGTCCCCATGTGCAGCCCCCACCAGCTCTCCCTCATTACATAACTGTTCCCATGATATCCAGGCAACAAAGCCTCCAAGAAAAGCTATTGATTATTAAAGTTATTTGGAGGCTTGGAGGCTCGTAATAAGGTGGTTATAATTACTCCTGTTATGACACATCCTTTTCAAGGCTCAGAACTGAGAACATTTTGCCTGCTTTGACTCAGCCCTCTTCATCGCAGGGAGAGAGGCTGAGCTGGAAATAGCTCCTGTGCAGCAGCAGGCAGGAGTCACAAGGAAAGGAACAGCCCAAAGCAAGTCAGTGAAGGACGTAGAGAGGGACAAAGGCCACTCCCAACCCGCAAGCGCTACCACCAGAGGACCCCTAGGGCAAGATGCGTGCCGCATAACTGCAGCACAACTGACTTTTTCTGTGGTTAAATGTGCTTCATCTATGGAAAATACCTTCAATATTTTTTAAAGTTCAGAACCAGGCACAGTGGTGCAGGTATTTGGTAGGCTGAGACATGAGGATCACAAGTTTAATTCCTACCTGAGCAACTTAGTGAGACCATATCTCAAAATAAAAACTATAAGGGACTGGGGATGTAGCTCAGTGATAGAGCCCTCCACCCTGCACCGGGTTCAACACCCTGCCTGGGGTGGGTAGAGGAATTCAGAAAACACCATCCTGCTTGTGCTTTTCATAATAGCAATAAGTAGCATTTACTGAGCATGTATGTACTGTGTCTCTGTGTATGTTATCTCACTTAACTCTCATCAGCATTCATGAGATAGGCATGCTTATGACTCCAGCTTTACAGGTAAAGAAACTCAGGCATACCTTGCCCACAGTTGTGCCTGGTACATGCCACTGCCAGAACGGGAACCCAGTCAGGGTATCCCTGGGGTGCCTGGAACACTGCCCGTTAGGGTTTCCAAACCACCACATCTTGGCACAGCCCAGCAAGATGGGGCAGGAGTGGGGAGCGGGGGGACCAAGGGATAGTCCCCTTATGAGGTTCAGGGAATACTGAAGGTTGTGCTTGGTTTGGTTTTGGATTTTTGTTTCATAGATTGTTGGAAGTTTCCCCACTTCCCTGTTTTCTCCTGACATGGATGGACATGCACACATGCACGCACACCCAGGCATGCACGCACCTACGTAGACATGCATGCACACGCAGGCATGCGCACACACATGCAGGCATGTACACACACATGCAGGCATGTACACTCATATGCAGGCATGCACACACACCACACACACAGACATGGACGCACCCACATAGGCATGCACACACACGCCCACATAGGCATGCACACACATGCAGGCAGGCACGCACACACAGGCATGCATACATGCAGGCATGCACAAACATATGCAGGCAGGCATGCACACACACAGGCAGGAACACACACACACACAGAGGCAGGCATGCACGCACCCACACAGGCATGCACACACCCACGTAGGCATGCACACACCCACGTAGGCATGCACGCACCCACACAGGCATGCACACACACACGCAGGCATGCACACACATATCCAGGCAGGACACACACACACAGGCAGGCATGCACACACCCACACAGGCATGCATGCACCCACATAGGCATGCACACACACACACGCAGGCACACACACACACAGGCAGGCACACACACACAGGCAGGCATGCACACACACACACACAGGCATGCACACATGCACACAGTTGCTGTTCATTCAAGAGAACCTACTGAGCCTGGCCCTTCGGGATCCTAGCTAGGGGTGACTCGAGGGGGGTATCAAGTGGGACAGCGGCTCTAGAGCACAAAGCTTGCACAGTATGGACAGGTAGATAGGTGTCCCCTAGGGGGCGGGCTCTGTACTCAGGACATAGAAACCTTCTCCATCGAGTGTCCCTGTGCAGCCTCTGGAGGCCCTGACAGCTCTGGCTCTTCATCTCCCCCACTCCAGGCTCCTTCAGCAGCTGCCCGACCCCAGGATGGTGACGATGCTGCTGCTGCTTTCCACGCTGGCGGGCCTTGTTGCAGAGACTGAGGCACAAGCATTTCATTTCGGGAAGTGCCCAAGCCCCCCAGTGCAGGAGAATTTCGACGTAAACAAGGTATGGGAAAGCTCTTGGGGTTTTCTGTGTCTTGTTCAAATAAGCATCCACTGCAAGTCTACATTTTTGTTGGTGTTTATTTGTTTTTGAAATAAAGTCTCACTATGTAGTTCAGGCTGGCCTGGAACTCAGTATGTAGCCCTGGCTGACCTCAAGTTTCCAGGGATCCTCCTGGCTCAGCATCCCTAGTTCTAGGATTCCAGGAGGCACTGCCACCCCCGGCTCTCCATGTCGAGCATCAGGAATGGTGCCTGTGTTGTTCTGGGTTTCCCCAGAGCAGACTCTGAGGCCAGAGCAGCAGGGAGAGAGGGATGGGTGGTTTTGTGCTGATGGTTCCAAAAACATAAAAAGCCACATGGAAAACTGAGTCTCATAAGGTGGTGAAGCAATACAATGTGAACAGAGAGGCTGAATCCCATGGGCATCCTCTGGAGAGATGTGCAGAATGCACCTACCTTACCCTGGGGTGGGTGCTAGAAGGCCGAGGCCAAGGACTGCCTGGCACTGGCCAACCCTATGGAGAGAGGAGGGATGGGGGTCAGGAGCCAACGGCAGTGTGTATGAGAATTCCTGCTGCAGGAGAAAAATTGACTTGTTGGGGGGGCATTAACTGTGGCTACTACAGTATTATCCCATTCTGCAAAGAGAGAGGCTGAATGTCCCCTACCCCTGGTGACACAGCTAATAAATGCAAAGTAGAGTCCAGAAAATGAGGCCTCCCCACAGTACAGCATACCCCTGGGTTACTCCAAAAGCCTAGGAAATGCCACAACTCTGCAAGGGCTCTTACTATCTATTCTAAAAAGATACCCATTACAGCTTAGCGGGGCCACGCTGTCATCCCAGCACCTAGGAGGCTGAAGCAGGAGGGTCGCTGTGAGCTGGGGATCTGCCTGGGCTACATAGTGAGTTCAAGATCAGCCTGAACTGCATAATGAGACATTGCCTCAGACAGAGAGGTAGATTAATGACAGAAAGACAGACAGACACACAACCAGCTGCCCCATGAATTGCCTCTCTTTCTGGGATGGGAGCAGAAGGAGCGGCAGAAAAGATCCAGAGAATTTCAGTTACATTTGAACTTTGGGATCTCTCCTAGACATTTTGGGAATTACAATGATCTATATTTACAAAAGTCCTTTGAGGAATTCGATCCCCAGGCCTGCCGTGCCGGCCCTGCCCCCAGGGTGCGCTGAGACTGCAGTTGAGACTGGGCGTGGTGTCACGCGCCTGTAATCCCAGCTCTTAGGAGGCTGTAAACAGGCAGATCACTACAAGTCTGATCTAGTAGTGAGACCCCGAACACCTTGTAGACTCTTCACTAAGATACAAAAGAAAAAAAAAAGTCCTTTGAGAACTAAAATCAAAATTTTAAAATACAAGTTGTATGGCATGAGTTTTATTGTATTAGTTCATACACCCTATCCTGGCTTCAAAGCTGCTTCGGCTTTCAGTCATTCTTAGTATTTCCCCCACTAGGCAACCACCATTACAATCACTTTCACAACATTTTCATCACCCCCCAACCCGTCAGCAGTCACACTCCCTGCCCTCCAGCCCCTCCAGCCCTGGCTTTCAGTCCCTGTGAATCTGACTATGCTGGATATGGCATAAAAACACAATCACAAAACAGGGAGCTTTTGTGACTGACTCCTAGCCCTTATGTTTGCATGGCCCAGCCACACTGTGACACATGTTAGTACCTGTTCCTTTTCATTGCTGAATAATATTCTACCATGTGGATTATGCCACACTTGCCCATTCACATTTGCAGTGTCTCTACTTTTTTTTTCTTTTTGACTATTAGGTACCATGCTGCTACGAACATTCATGGTCAAGCAGTTTTAGGGGCAAAGAGAACTCCATTTTTGGTTCCCTTGAGCATACGCAGAGGATACAATTGCTGATGTGCTAACTCCGTGCTTAACTTTTTGAGGAACTATAGCAGTAGTTTTCAAAACATCTGCACCACGACATTCTCACCAGCAGTGTGTAACTCCTATTTCTTGGTATCTTTACCAATATTTATTCTTGTCCTTTTCACTGTGGTCATTTTAGTGGGTATGAGGTGGTATCTCATTGTAGTTCTGAGTGTACTTCTTTCATAACTAATGAAGTTGTATATCTTTGTATATACTTATTAGCCATTTGTGTATCTCCTTTGTATATCTTCTATTCCAGTTTTTTGCTTTTTTTATGTCAAACATTTACTTGCCAAGGTGACAGCTCATTGGTTAAATATTTTCTACATGATTCTGTGTGGAATTCCAGGAAAACTAGGCAATGTTTTGCCCATTTTTAAAATTAAGTTATTTACATTTTCATTATTGAGATGAGTTCTTCCTGTGTTCTAAGTATAAATTCTTCATCAGATATGTTATTTAGGAACATTTTCTGTGGAATTTTTCATTTTATTGACTTGCCCTTTGAAACAAAGTTCTTAACATAGCCAGGAACATTGTTACACACTTGTAATCCCAGCTACTCAAGAGCTGAGTAGGCAGATCAAAAGTTCAAGGCCAGCCTGGGCAACTTAGCAAGACCTTGTCTCACAAAAAAAAAAAAAAAAAAAAAGGGGGGGGGGCTGGAGATGTAGCTCAATAGTACAGTGCTTGCCTACATGTATGAAGCCCTGGGTTTAATTCTCAGTAACACACGCAAGCGCACAAACACACACACACACATTTTTCCTGTTGGTAAAATCCAGTTCATCTATTTTCTTCTTTGGTTGCTTGTATTTTTGATGTCATCTCTAAAAAGTCACTGTCTAATCCAACATCACAAACATTTACTGGGGCCGGGGAGATGGCTCAGTGGAATAAGCGCTTCACTGGCAAGTGCAAGGACCTGAGTTCAATCCCCGGTTCTGGAAAAAAAAAAAAAAATTCTACTAATAGACTTCAAAGAGTTTTATAGTTTTTATTCTTACATTTAAGTATTTGATCCATTTTAGGTTAAAATTTGTATACTGTATGATAAAGATTCACCTTCATTCTTTTGCATATGGATGTCCTGTTGTCCCAGAACTGTCTGTTGAAAAGACTATTATGTTCCCTATTGAATAATTTCAATATCCTTGTTAAAACTGACCACATACGTGAGGGCTTCTTTCTGGGTTTTCAGTTCTATTCAGTTTATCTCTATGTCCACACTTAGGCCAGTATCAGACAGTCTTAATTACTTTACACTGTAATAAGTTTTGAGTCCACAACTTTTTTTTCTTTTTTATACTAGGAATCAAACTCAGGACCTTGGGCTTGCTAGGCAGCAAATGTGCCACGGAGCTATATCCCTGGCGCTGTAATAAGCTTTGAACAGACTATATGAGTCTTCCAACTTTATTTGTGTTCCTTGCATTTCCATATGAATTTTAGTGTCATCTTGTCCATTTCTACAAAGAAGCCACTTGCAATTTTGATAAATTGTATTAACCTAAGGAACAGGGAGGACTGGGAAGCTCAGTAGAATAAGCACTTGCCTGGTAAGTGCAGGGTCCTGAGTTCAACCCCCGGTATCGCACAAATAAAAACAAAAACAAACAAACTAAGGAACAGGGGCTGGGGAGATAGCTCAGTAGAATAAGCGCTTGCCTGGCAAGCACAAGGGCCTCACTTCAATCCCGGTTTGGCAAAAAAAAAGAACAATTAGGGGAAATACCGCTTTCTTAACAGTACTGTTTTCCAATGAACATAGGCTATTTTTTTTTTTTACTACTGAAGCATTCTTTAATTGATTCTAGCAACGTTACAGAGTTTTCAGAGTCTAAGTTTTAAATTTTTAGTTCAAGTTATTAATAAGCACTTTATTCTTTTGATGCTATTGTAAATAGATTTAAAAACTCCATTTGCAGATTGTCTGTTGCTAGTGTATGAACACATCTGCTTTTCATACACTGATCATTTGGCCCTGCCAGACTCATTAGGTCTAATTGGTTTTACTTTTTTTAGATCCCATAGGATTTTTCTACACAGAAGAATATTACATCTGTAAGTAGAGACAGCTCTACTACCTCTTTTCTAGGATTCTTTTTAAACACTGAATTCTTCTTATATAGATAAACTATGACCCACAACAATTCAGAGGGCTTTAACAACAATCCTATGTCACCAGGAAGAAACCTAACACAAAACTCAGCCTCTCGCTTATGAATCTTCTCCCTCCTGGGAAATTCATGCTTCTTTGATTTTAACCATGGAGCGCGAAAGTCACTTGAACAAAAGAACAATTTTAAATGTACCACAAAATAGAGCTCTTTTTGAGGATGTCTGGGGAACCAGCTGGCTTTATTCACTGGTTCCTTAAATGATGGTTAAGTTCAGTGGTGTCGATTCAAAGAGGTGCTTTCATAAAGGAGATGAATGAACGTGGGCCTCAAGGTGCCCGTCCCTTCCCGCAGGAAGCCATGTGACTGGAGCAACACTGCCCCCTGTCTGCAGCTTGCCCTCCATTCCTGTTCAGCCTTGTTCTAAATTTCTAAAATAATTTCAAGGTTTTTGACTAGGTATATGCTCAGAGTTCAAAATTCTGCAAGTTCCAAAGAGGGCTAGAGTTATAGCTTGGCTCTGGAGTGCCTGCCTGGCATTCATGCAGCCCTGGGTTCGATTCCCAACACTGCAAAATAAAATAATAAAATATAAAATAAAATAAACACCAAAGGTGCAAAAGAGCATAAGTGAAAAACTTTCTTCCAGCTTTCCATTTCTCTTACCATAACCAACCTATAAAGATAATGTATGTCTTTTGGAAACAAGGAATACATATACAAACAACTACATATACAACTGTGGTAGACAGAATTATTTTCCATGTGTGCACGAATGCCTGCAGGCTGTTACTATGTTACTTTATGTGGACAAAGGGCTTTTACAGAAGTGACCAAATAATGGGTCATGAGACATCCACATTAGCCTGGATATCCAGATGGACTAATCTACTCACATAAGTCCTTAGATACAGAGACCCCTTTTGAGCCATGGTAGAGAGATTTGATCAAGAGATAAATTGGAGAGATGCAATAGAAGGGGAGTCTGACCAGCTTTTGTTGACTTTAAGAAAAAAGAAAAGGGATCCCTAGCCAAGGAATGCTGTGTAACTTGGAAAAGGCAAGGAAACTGATCCTCCTTGGAGCCTCCAGTAGGGGACAGCGCCAACATCTCAGTGTTAGTCCAGTGCGGCTCTGGGCAGACTTCTGGCTTACGGAAGTAGAGACAACAAATGTGTGCTGTTTTAAGCTTATGGGGATTTACCACGTAGCATTATCTTATGATCAGTATTGCAGCGGCAACTGAAAGCCAATGCAATAAGCTTTCTCCTCATTTTTGCACCAGTAGAGGTCTAATAGAGACACCCTTCTGCATCTGGCGCTTTTTTTTTTATTATATCTTTGAAGTAATTATATATTACTCATTTTAGAAAAGATTGCAACATTGCATTGAGTGAAGAAGTTGTCCAAATCAGATTCAAGGCCATTGCTAAAGTTCTACAGCAAATGGGGAGCCGGATTTCACAGGGCAGCGGGCACTACTCTAGTCATTTGTGCTCGCTGCAGGAGACACGACCTGGGTCTCAACAGAGGCTGGTCTTTTTCATGATGCGCAGGAACTCCTGCTCATTGACCTTGCCTCTCCACCTCTGTCGGCTTCATCCATCATCTCCTGAAGCTCCTCATTGGTCAGGTTCTCGCCCAGCTCCTTGGCCACGCACTTCAGATTTCTGAACGATATTGTCCCAGTTTTATCATCATTGAAGAGCTTGAAAGCTTTTAGCATTTCTTCCTCGGTGTCTTTCTCAGACATTTTCTGAGTCATCACGGTCAGAAAGCCACTGAAGTTCACTTTGCCTCTCCCCTCCTTATCAATTTTGCTTATCATTTTCTCGATTTCTTCTCTCTTGGGCTCAACGCCCCGGGCTCCCATTGCCACCTTTAGTTCCTTTACATCGATGGTCCCTGTCCCATCTGCATCAAAGAGATCAAAGTTTCCCAGGTTTCCTGTTTCTGCTCTTCAGTCAGCTCTGGCTTAGGACTCATCCTTCTTCTCAGAGCCCTTGACGCCATGTTTGCCTTTTTAAAACTGGAGGCCACTGCAGCCCGACTCCAGTCAGGAGATTGCCAGAAGCGAAGCTGCTAGGGCCAAAGTGCAGTTTTAGTGCTGTTAGAATATACCAAACTGCCTACACAGAGGTTGTAAATTGGTGCAGCCTGTATGTGGTGGTGCAAAGGTGTCTGACCCCTTCCTTCATGGCTACAGTGGCAGCTTCTTAAAACTGCCTCCATGCACTCAAAGACAAACGTCTGCTCCAGCCTGAGCACCCGCTAGAAGTGGTGCTGAAAAGTGGCCCTGCGTGGGGGTCACATGAGGAAAGTTCAACCAAGCCAAATCTCCTGGCACCTGCATCTGAGTTTGCTCCAAATTCAAGCATTCCTGGTAGGCTTCCAAAATGTCTGAGACAAAAGGCACTTGCCATCATCCAGACAAATCTCTTCCTTTTGGAGTCTAGAATTTCACACAGATTTTGGCTGAACAGGATGGAGAGAATGTATCTAAATAAGGCGCCCTTTAGGAATAGAACGCAGCATTCAGCCAGTGCTCGCGCATGCGATTTGCTGACACTCGCTAGAATCAGTGGTGCTGGGTTGCCTCTGAGAACAATGTGGCCCACTCTGCCTGGTTCCCCAGAGAAGGACTCTGCTCCGAAAGACACAATGGGGAAGTTTGCAGTCCAGAGGGATTCACAGGGCTTTGCTCTTGTTGTCTCTGCAGTATCTTGGAAGATGGTTTGAAATTGAGAAGATACCCGTGAGCTTCGAGAAAGGAAACTGCATCGAGGCCAACTACTCACTAAAGGAAAATGGAAACATCAAAGTGCTCAACCAGGAGTTGAGGTGAGCACCTGCGCCCATCTGGAGCCTGGCTGGGGTGCTGTCCTGGAGTGACTGGGTACTCAGGAGGCAGGAGCTGGGGAGGAAGTCACTGGGGCCAGGCAGGGACAGTTGGGACTGGAAGACATTCATTCATTTCCTTTACCACTTGCTGAGCACCTGGTGCCAGACCCAGGGAGAGGCACCAGGGACCCACAGAGCTCCTACGCTCACTGCAAAACAGAGGCTGTTGGCAAAGGATGTTGGGACCACCTTGTCTGACCTCCAAATGAAGAGAGAGAAGCTTTTCTGTCTGTCTCCTCACAGAGGGAGATGGTTTAGCCCATCTCCAGGCAGTTCTACCTTAACCCTTCCTAAACAAGAACCAAATACCCATAACACATATACATATCAGAGATGGTGTAAACAGAACATGACAGAAGCACACAATTCTGTCCTGGAGGCCTTTTCACATTCACATGTGATGCAAAGATTTACATTTAACTGTGCTGGCCAGGCCCCAGCGGCATGCTGAGAGGGCAATTGAGACTGGCGTGGTGGTGCATGCCTGTAATCCCAGCTCTAAGAAGGCTGTAAATAGGCAGATCACTACCTGAGTCCAATCTAGTAGTAGTGAGACCCTGAACACCCTGTAGACCTTTCTCTTAAAAAAAAAAAAAAAAAAGATTTACATTTGGAAAGCAAGCCTAAACTTTGAACATGCCTCAGGGAAAAGTCTTTCTACTCAACCTTTGTCAACAAAGATAACAATGCCAACAAACACATCCAAGCATTTCCTTTGCGCAAGACATTAACCTCTATGTACACATGGAACATGTGGGTAATATGTGTCTGTGTTAATGTTTGTACATATATATTTATTTAATCCCCATAACAACCCTGAAGTAGATGCTATTATAAACCTCATTTTTATAAATGAAAAAATTTAGGTACAGAGAGGTAACTTGACCAAGGGTCACATAGTTAAGGGATGACACTGGGATTTGAAGCAAGGAAAAGTGACATGGGGAAGGAATTAGAAGATAGGTAAGAAAGTCTGGGAATAAAGAGGTTTCCTTCTGTCCTCTATAGAAGGTGAGAGGTCCCTAGGCTCACAGATGCTTTCTGTGGCTGTCCTACCACCCACTGACTTCCTGTGAGCCAGAAACACAAAATAGGGCTCTTAAGGGCCTCAAAGAAAGATCTAGCCATTTCAGAGCCTTGGGGAGAACTACAGGAATTGAGATGATCAGAAGGCCTCACAGGAATTGTATAGGTCCAGTAATAACCATCTGTCCATCACTGTTATGAAGTTCCTGAGGCAAGTAACTGATAAAGGAACAAAGAGGTTATTTTGGCTCCTGGCTTTGGAGCTTCCAGTTCAAGACCAATGTTCTTTGGGCTGCTGGTGAGGGCAGCCTCACTGTGGGAGTGTGTAGTGGAGAAAAACCACCCACTTGGGAGCCAGGAAGCAGAAAGAGACAGGAAGAGGCCAGGGTTCTACACCCCCCTTCAAGGGCACACTTACAGGGATATAAGGACATCAGCAGGTCCACCCCTCTCTTATAGCATCACCCTGGACATCATGGACCTTTAAGGGGAAAAACCACCGCAGGCCCCAAAGTTGCAGTAACCTCATTTCAAATATTTAGTCCTACTCTAAGACTAGGAGTCAACAATACAGACTCCAAATCTATGAGGATCCCCCTTCTCCTTTGGAGTTGGCCTGCAGTGTGCTTTCACTATATGCTGGGTATTAGGCTGCTCCGCTTCCACAGTTACACCTGTTTGAGATACACACAACATGGGAACAAAAATTGTTTAATTCCTGAAAATGATGCAGTTTCTCCCTCCTGGGAGGCTGCAATGAGTGCAAGATGAGGCAGGGGTTCTAGCCAACAGAATGCCCAGCCAGTGTCAGAGAACTTGCATGCCAAAACAGCTGGGGCAGCACCGGAGGATGAGGAGGAGCTCAGGCTCTGAGTTCAGCTGCCTGGGCTCCAGTCCCGATTCTGCTATGTAGTGTGGGACTGGAGGTTAGTTAGGATTGATCTGTAGGCAGTAATACCAGGGCTACCTCTTTGGGGCTGATTGGCATTAAATGAAGTAACACACATAAAGCTCTTAGAACGCTATGTGGCATGTGATAATCATTTACCAAATAAGACTCTCCATGGTTAACCTGCTGCCGCCCTTGAAAATATAAATGCATTTCTCCAAGCACAAGTTGTGAGTTTATGATCAGTTCATGATCAGAGCCTAGCATTTTGAAAACTATTCTAGAACAAACCACAAATGGTGGTGAAAGGAGGAGTGTACTGAGAAGAGCCTGGTTTGATGCCTCATATGCAGACAGAAACAGACCATGTCCCCAGCTATCTGATTGCCAGGTGAGAGTAGAGCACTGTCAGCAGCCCTATGCGGTGACAAAGAGATAATGCATTTGGGAGTATCACAGTACATTTCCCAGCCTCCCTTACCTCTTGCTTATTATCTCATTTCTAGGACATCCAACAGCACTAACCACAGCACTAATCTATGGAATTTGGTACACACACAAGCTCTAACTTTATTCCACCTGCTTCTTAAGGACTAGTTGACCTTCAGCTCCCCTGTAAGCGCCCTAGGAGGGGCCCCCTGAAGCAGAAGTACCCTCCCTTCTCTGTCCCCAGCTTCATGGCATCAAAAAGTATTAACCAGAAATGGGTCAGATCTTTCAAAAAGATTAAGACATTACATTCCATGAGATGTGCCACCACTTATACTGCTAAGAAAGAAATGACACTGCCAATTGTATGTGTGAGGTGGCATTTCTTCATATTTAACATCACTGAGCTCCAGGCTTACCCAGGAATCACTGAGGCCAGGTCAGTGTGTCCTTACTGCTGGCTTTTACCTGGCTTCTGCTGAGTCTCAGATGCCTGCTGTCCCAGAAACTGTGTCAGTGCTGAGGGCCCCTGTGGGACAGATGATGTTCCTGAGGCCCAAAGGGGGAGAAGCTTATGGCACTCCTGACTTCTGTCCTGTTGTGCATTATTTTCAGTGACCAAATTCATTTTTCTTCGTCTTCTTTTTGTGTTGCTTTGTTTCTCTCCTGCTTTTACCTCCTCTCCCTTTGGAGCCTGGGAGTAGGACATATTGAGTTCTCTGCAGACAGTTAAAAGCCAAGGGTCGAAGTACAGAGACCTAATAGCACTCCAATCCCACAGCATCCTAATGTCCTAATGTCGCTTATCAGTCCACAACTGTCTTCCCCTCTTGGCCTCCATCAGAGGAAAGGACAGGAAATGGAACCAGGACCAAGTATCAGAAATCACCATGCTAAAAAAAAAAAAAAAAAAATTAAAGAAATTAAAAAAAAAGAAATCACCATGTTGGCCACTACCATCCTTAATGACCCAAATCTTGCCTTTTCTGATTTTTAGTTTTCAATGAATTGTTTTTTCTTTGTTTTGTTTTTTACTTAATACAGAGCTGATGGAACTGTGAATCAAATTGAAGGTGAAGCCACCCAAAGCAACATCACGGAGCCTGCCAAACTAGGAGTTAAGTTTTTCCAGCGTAAGTAACAACTTTGCTCAGGAAGTTTCAGGGACAGGAGCTATGCAGGTGGAAGGCAAGAGCCATGAGGTATCCCACCACATCTGAGTGTCATCTATAAGGCCTTGACACACAGTTGTTGAGCATGTACTGTGTGCCACACACTGGGCTGGACACTGAGATGCAGTGATGGGTCACACAGGGCTGGCTTTGTCCTCCTGGAACGTGTGTTCCCATGTGGACACTGACCAGCAACCAGGAGATTTCCCATAAACTATCCTCAGTGTTTAGTGAGTACAGCCAAAATGCAAACATTCAGAGTGGGAGCAGCAAGAGACGTAGTGCAGTCTTACTTCCCAAGGGGAAACGGAGGTCCCCAAGTGAGTAGCATTAGCGAAACAACCAGGGTGAGCAGAAGCTTGCAGACAAGAGATGACAGGACTGAAGGCCAGTGTGAGTCCTGCCTCTGCCACTTTCTAGTCCTGGTTGGGATTTTGAATATTTAACCACAGGCATCTGCCCTCTGAGTTTGGAACTAAACAGAGAATGGATACAACAGGCAGAGAAAGCATCCAATGTCAATTTTACAGCTTCTGTAGACACACTGGAGAATTCGGCTCAGGCCTGGGAGGCTTTCTAATTTTCAGAGTGTCCTAGGAACCCCTCCATCCACTGATGGGAGACACTAAAGTCACCAGTTTCAAGAGAAGTCACCCTTAAATGTCCTCACATGGGCCATCTTCCTCCCCTGGAATCCCCAGTGTGGGGCAGGGAGGAAGCTCTTGCTTATAAACCAAGAAAGGAATGTAAGGGGGGAAACAACTCTTCCCACACATATGGTGATGAGCAAATAACATCCCATGTACAAACCAGGGGTGACTGCCCTGGGTCATGGAGATAAACCTAGCAGGGCACATCTGTGCACTATCCATAATGGTCTTGTCACTCTTTCACAGAAGAGTTACATGGAAGTTGACACACAGGACTGGGCAGGCACGAATCTAATCAGTGGCAGAGTCTCCAAACTCAGACAAGATTCCTCTATGACATGGATGCAAAAGGGATGGTAGATGGGGTGAAGGTTAAGTAACTTCTGTTCAGTTCACATAAAGAAGCATGTGGCAGGAGCTAAAAGAAAGACAGGAGCTGCTTGCTGGGGAAGTCAAGGAAGAAGAGATGCTCTGATGTTGGTGCTAGGACCTTGTAGGCTGCATAGGAGACTGTGCTGAAGCACTGATGCTCCAAGCAGGGGGAACCGCATGGGAGATGGCTGGGTAAAGCAGCCTAGGGCAAGGGAGGGTACAAGGGATGTGGGACAGGGCTAGGAGGCCCTTGAATGCCACACTAGAGAGTTTGTGTTGCAGCCAGCCTGAACTGCAGTGAAATCCTTTCTCAAAAAGACAAAAAAGGATTTGAGGTATAGCTCATTGAGATGGTACTGGGTTCACTCCCCACTTCTGAAACACACACACACACACGCACACACGCATTCTCTCTCACACACATGCACACACATATTCTCTCTCTCTCTCATACACACACACACACACACACACACACACACACACACACACAGAGGCCTGGAGACGCTTCTCTCCCGCTCTGGCCCCTCCTCATGCTGCCTTTTCTTTGGTTCTTAGTGATGCCACTAGCACCATACTGGGTCCTGGCCACCGACTATGACAACTACGCCCTCGTCTACTCCTGTACCAACATCATCTGGCTTTTCCATGTTGACCACATTTGGATCTTGGGAAGAAACCGTTATCTGCCCCCAGAAACACTGACCTACTTAAAAGATATCCTGACTTCTAACAACATCGACATTGAGAAAATGACCGTCACAGATCAGGCGAACTGCCCCGACTTCCTGTAAGGACGCTCTGGAGCCCAGCTGCAGCCACCCCCTCACTTCCTCCACTCTGCTTTCCTCACCCTGCCCCCACCTCATAAAGACACAGAACCACCCATGACGACAGCTGCAAAGACCCACAGGGAAGTTTGCCGAAGCCACTGGAGGGGAGCTCCAGGAAAGCTGGCCCAGTGTTAGCCTCTGCTCACCCTGCCTCACCACCACTAATAAACATGTTGCTGACCCTCTGAGCCTAGCAGACTGAGTCAGGGTGATGATTATGTTAGCTTTCTGTTGCTCTGACAAAATACCTGAGGTAAACAACTTGAAAGGAGGAAAGGCTCCAGCTAGGCCCCTACTCCTGCCACCTCCCAACCACCCATTAAGCTGTGCAAGCGTCAGTGGATTAATTACTGCTGAGGTCAGAGTACTCATGGCCCAAATGCCTCGCCTCTGTACTCTGCTGCACTGGGGACCAAACCTTCAACACAAGGGCTTTTAGGGGACATTCTGGATCCAAATCATAACAATCACAGGGTTTTGTTGTTGTTTCTACTATCAGTACATTTTCTTTCTTTGTTTTTATGTATGTGGTACAGGATCTCACTACACAGCTCAGACTCGTAGTGATCCTCCTGATTTCAGCCTCCCCAGTGCTGGGATTATAGTTGTGTGCCACCACACCCAGACTCTGTGGCCAGCTCAGTGCACCTGGGGACAGGGCCAGGGAGACATGTGGTGCTGGGGATCGAACCTGGATCCCTGAGCTTGCCTAAGCTGGCACTTAGTCCACTGAGCTATCTCATGGGCCCTGGCAGTGGGTTTTTAGATGGCCCTAAATAGTTACATGTGGATGAGAAGCAGCTTGGAGCTGTCTGAGTTAACACTACTGTTCTGGGGCAGCTGATGGCACAGGTGTACACTGGTAACCTGAACCTAGGTGTCCCCATTCTGCCATGGTTGCCCCTCCAAGGAGGAGGGCGAGGGTTCCTGAGTTTACCACGCAGTTTCCTCAAAGCTCTTACTCTCATCAGCTAATCCCGAATCAGGCTGAAGAGTGACCACCCTGCAGTCTCTAGGAAGGAGATCTATGCAGGGGAGGATACCAGGGATTGATTTTAAAGATTATTTTTTATATGTGTCTTTCACTCCATTGCTATTTTCTGAGGCCCAAGTGCATTCTGGAAATTGAAAACTACAGGCTCTTTGTCTTCCCACAGGAGCTTACAGTCTAACGAAAGAGACAAGGAAGTAGAGAAGTTACTGCAGCCCGAGGGGGGAAGGCAGAGGCTTGTGGAAGGTGTAGCCCAGTGGGTTGTGCAGTCACTCCCCCAGGGTTGGCTTTCCTGCTTGGTTCCACCTTCTGCTGAGGTTTTATACATTGTGACATTTTTAAAATCAGAAAGCCCTCTGAATTATCACCCTGCAATTTTACATAGCTCACATCAATTTTATAATTCACTAACATTTGGGGAAATGAATAGAAAATTAAGCCCTTTAACTTTTTGCTTTTTTAAAAACAGGACTATAAAATATTATTTTCCTTGAATATTTGAGACCTTTTAATACTTTACGTTAAAGATCAACAAATTTTTTTTTTTTTTTTTTTTTGTATTTTAGAGCAGGGTCTACAGAGTGTTCAGGGTCTCACTGCATAGATCAGACTTGTAGTGATCTGCCTGTGTACAGCCTATCAAGAGCTGGGATTATAGGATCGCACCACTATGCCCAGTCTCAATTGCTGTCTCAGCATGCCCCAGGGGCAGAGCAACACAGCAGGCCTGGGGATTCAACCCCTGGCCCCTAAGCCTGCTTGCAGGCACTTTAATCCACTAAACTATTTGGCCGGCCCTAATCAAAAAAATCTTAAAACATAATTTTGTTTAAATAAATATAAACTCTGGGGCCAGGGACATAGCTCAGCAGACTAAATTATCTGCTTAGGCAAGCTTAGGCAAGTGCAGGGACCATGGTTTGATCCCCAGCACCACATGCCACACCAGCCCTGCCCCCAGGGTGGGCTGAGTTGGCCTGAATCCGGGTGCAGTGGTGCGTGCCTGTAATCCCAGCGCTGGGGAGGTGAAAGCAGGAGGATCACCACAAGTCTGAGCTGCATAGTGAGACCCTGCAACAATCAAATACATTAAAAATAATAATAGATAAATAAATATAAACTCTTATAAATATAAATATGTAAATATATTTAAATAAATATAAACATAACTTCCAATTTGAAGTCCCAAAAGGCTGAAAGGAGGATAAGAAGGTGGCCTAGAGCCTCTGGCAAGTTTGCTGGCTGCCGAGCCCTGTGCTTTACTGCACTGCCAGCGCCCTAAAGAGCACTCAGCCCCTCTCATAAAGCAGTTATTCTGTGATGCTAAGCTGCCATCTGTCTTTTATCTCATTGCACGAAATAAGTTGGGGTTTCACTCCTCGTAACAGCTGCCTGGTAACGCCTGAGATAAAGCGACTGTGCCTCTTCACAAGTGCTTAGGGCCTCGCCCAATACACGGACGTGATTACCTCATGTGAATGAATTACTGACTAGGCGGGCAGATGCATGGACCTGCGTTTTTCAGGGAAGAAGTGAAAGAAAACTATGAAGCAGATAGCAGGCATAACTAAGCTTGAAAAAAAAAAAATGTTGGAGATGCCAGAGGGCAGCATGCGGGTACCAAGCGTCTAGAGGAAACAGGGGTAAGGGGAAAGACAAAACAGCCCACAAAAGCCCAGAAGGGAGAAGGGAAGGAGGAAGTAAACAGCAAAATGGAGACAAGAGTTCATAACAAGTCCCCACATGCCTGTCGACCTTTCCTGCAGTCACTAACACATCACCAAACTTATCAGTTCAGCTCTCACCCACCATACTCACATTCACAGTGTTTCAAAACAAACCCTGGATGTCACATCTTATTAGTGAGGAGCCACCTAAGTATATATCACAACCAAACATAGCAAACACAGATACTTTTTAAAAATGTATGTCTTTAAATTTTTTTTATTATTTTATGTATTTGGTACAAGGTCTCACTATGTAGCTCAGACTCATAGTGATCATCCTGTTTTCAGCCTCTTCAGCACTGGGATTACAGGTGTGTGCCACTGTGCCTGGGAGCCATGGGTATGGCATGCGGTAGCAGGGATCAAACCCCAGTCCCTAAGCTTGCCTAAGCAGGTGCTTAGTCCACTGAGCTATCTCGTCAACCCTCAAAAATGTATATCTTATGTTTTAAAATGCTCAGAGGATGTAATTTCTATATAAGCTTAAAAATATCTTAACATAGTCTAGATAAAAGGGAATCTGAGCAAAAACATCCATAATAGTTTTGTAGGTAGTAGCCCCAACTGAAAGAAGCTAAACTAAAACTAGCAGTAGAGGAATCAGAGAAATGGGACCATTAATTATGGAACACCCACTTGATGTCCTGTCATATATTCATTAAAATGCGAGAAATGAAGCCAGGGGCAGTGGTACATGTCTGTAATTCCAGTACCCAGGATGCTGAGGCAGGAGGATTGCTGTGAATTTGAAGCCAGCCTTGGCTACCTAGTGAATTCAAGGTTAGCCTGCACTGCATAGCAAGACCCTGTCTCAAAAACAATGGGAGGATAGGAAGCCACCCGAGAGTTGGTGCCTCCTTATCCACACTCACTGTTGGAAAGCTCCTGCTGGGGGGGTTTGCTACCCTGTAGAGCGCCAATCCACGGATCTTGTGTTTTTGAAGGAATCTGACTGCCGCCATCCTAGGCCAACCAGAAAGCACTGAATGCCTCTTCTATTCCACTATGATGTTACATCTGCTCGAGATGTGTAAACTCCGGTTAGTACGACCCAGCAACCATGGTTACATCCCCTAGCTCCCATCATTCCTCAGCCCGCTCCCACAAGGCACCGCCCACTCTCTGTGCTTTCTCTAGCCTCATGCCTGGCAGGTAACCTCAGCTTCTATCACCGAACTCTCCCCCTCCAAAGTCCTTTTCTGACTTCTTCCTTTCACAGCCCCCCCTTTATGTTCATGCCCCTATAAAGATCTGATAACCTGTGCAAGAGTTACGGGTCTGGTCTGAGTGCCAGGGTGGTCCCTCTCAGTTTGTTCTAAAATAAACTTGTCCTGCTAAGCCTGCACCTTTATTTTCTCCTCCTTGTTACCTAACAGTGCCTGCCTCCGAGCCTACCCCACTGGACCAGGGCAGGTCCACCTGAGCACTAGCAACACTCCTGACAGCCGGTCCACAAGCTCACGTTTGTGGACTGACTGGGTAGAAAACATAAATTGGAGCCAGCGGATCAGAATAGGACTTTAAGAGAGCTGGGGTAAGAATAATTGAAAGCTCCCACAATGGTCAGCTTTTTGTCACAGTGACCAAATACCCAGCATTTACAGCTTCAAGGAATTCATGGTTTCCAGGGTTTTAGTCCATAGCGGGCTGGATCCACCGCAGAAACATGGCAGGAGGGCCTGGCAACCCTGCTCCCGAAGGAGAAAGAGCAAGAGAGCCCCAGAGACAGGAAGGGGCGGTGGACAAGAATATGTGCTTGCTTCCAGGTTACACATCCAGGGCACACTTGCCCCAAGCAGGCCCTGCCTTCTCAGAGCACATTCAGCTATGGGCTCACCCCTGGGTTAATCCATTAATGAAGGCTGTGTCCCGTGATCTACGCACCAGCCCAAAGCCCATCTCTGATCTAAGCCATAACAGCCCTGAAACTGTAAGGTCACAAAGTCCGCAGAAGTTCTTGGTAATACGCAGCCTGACTTGAGAGAGGGCAGAGGCAAAAAGCAGAGACCTGTCCACACAGACCCCCAGCCGCAGCTTCAGTAACGGGTGGACTTCCACGCTCTAGCTCCATTCTGTGGACCTTAGCTATCTTACGTACCTCGTACCTGTCCCTGGATTTGTGCAAGATTAGAAACACACACAGAGAGAGAGAGAGAGAGAGAGA